CCCAAACCTGCTGACGGGTTTGGGGGATCGACTCCCATTTCCTCGGGATTTCAGTGGAAATTCCGGGGGTTTCGGGGTTTGGGAGTCAATCCTCCACTTTTTGGGAGTCGATTAGCTAAGACCCTTTTTTTTTCAGTAAGCCCTCTAGCAATGGCTCTGATGTGAGCTGGTTGGAACAATGGATAGGATTGTTTAAGAGCATCTCCACCGCGGTCCCTAAATTGGGTCCCTATCCCGCATTTAGGCACCCCGGGCCCAAAAACACCTCCCACCGCAGTCCCTATCGGGGTCCGTATTTTACGGATTTCCTCCTCGGTCCCTCTCCAGACCCTGGATCCAGGGATTGGCTAGGGACGCTGAAATCAATGAGAATCACACACACACCTCGTGTGTTTCCCCTGTGAAACGCCCCTCCTTCCACAACTCCACCTCCCCCGATACCCCCTATCTTCTATTCTGGACACATCGGCCAACCCAGCCATCACAATGGCCGTACCCAACAACAAACAGCTCTCCATGGCAACAACCGCCTCCCAACCTGTTCTGGATCCGAGTCTCTTATCCAAAATCTCAGTTGTCCAAGCTCCTGACTCTTCAGACATTACCATTGTTCAAGGTCAACAACCCACCAAGAAGCCGGCAAAACCACAAGGCAAGAGAGCTGCCAATACTGCCAACAAGACTACTGCCAATCCGGCCGCGAATACCACCAATCCTGCTGCTTTTTATTGCTCTTTTTCCTTTTGTCTATGTATCGGGTTCTATCTTGTGCTTGTTTAGCCTTGAATAGTATAACTTGTTTCATGATATTATACATCAATCTTGGCCTTGATCTTGTCAAAAGATCGGGGGAGGGCGGGGAGCAGATAGCGACCAAATTGATGGTCAACTTGGGACCCACGGTGTGTGCCACAGCACCTTGGGTCCATATAGCTGGTAGTGCGGTCCCCAAATGCAAGGTTTTTGGGACCCGATTTAGGGACCCCGGTGGAGATGCTCTTAATTATTATTAAAGACTTGAATATCAGGATCCAAGTGGGTCGTGTCGCCTTGCCGGGTCACAGGGCGGGTTTGAGCAGGCTAGGCTTGGAAGTTGACCCGACCCGGATTCAACCCGACAGGTCGGTGGGGCGGGTATGATCAGGACGGATTGTGTTTGGGTCGGCTTGAGATTGACCGACTGACCTGATTGAAAGGAATTAACTGATCATTTGCTGGGTTGACCCGGACCCAACCCAAGACCCGACCCGAGGCACGGTGTATTTGGGCTGGGTTTGGTCAACATTTTGCCATTTTTGCCCCGCCCCGCCCCAAGAATTTGGCGGGGCGGGTTTGGTCCCGAGTTTTTGACCCAAACCCGGCGGATTATTTGGAACCTGACTTGAATATAGAAAGGTCTAAAAAAAAAAACTCAATCTAGATGACAACTAGGAGGATTGAAATCCTGTTTTTTTGTTGCAGTTTGAAACCGGAAGTCCCCGATGAGACCTTTTGCTATGGGTTTACACAGGGCTATGTGGGTTAATCAGTCCAGTTTGATCCCAGCACTCTGGCAATGTTTGGTGTCAACAAAAGTCAAGATGAAACTATGGATGGATGGATGTAGGTGATCAATATGGTCTACATTAACGGTCTACATTATAAACCTAAGCATAAACAAAAAAAAGTAGAAATAGATGTGTGTAGGCAGGACTAAAAAAGAAGAAGAAGAAAAGTCATGGGAGAACCCCATGATCATATTTGACTAATCGTGGTTGCAGTTGAACAAAGTAAAAAAAAAGAAAAAAAAAAACTGGATAAAAATGTACATGTGTAAGTCAAGATAACATCAGGATAATTGAGAGAGAATACTGTACCGCCGCATCTTCAGGATGGATTTCTCTGGGAAGAATGGCCATACATATATGTGTCTGTCAATGAGTAAAAAAATGGATGGGGTGGGGTGGGGTGGGGTGGGGCTAAACTCTTCTTCTTCTTCTTCTTCTTCATGATGGACAACAGTACACCCCCCAAAAAAAAGTACATATCTAAACTGGTACATCAAGCACACCAACAACAAAGAAGTATGACCCATGCACCTGCATTTTTAATTTCGGATGAATCAAAGTGTCTATCTGATCGGTAAACCTATTATATCTATCTTAAATAACTAACTAACTAACACTAAGGAAAGAAGAAGAAAAAAAACACTATACAAATTTGGAAAAAAAAGGATTACATACATACATACATCTAATACGGGGATTATGTTATGTTATAAGTGAAGAAGAAAAAGACGAGCAGATTGATGAAACAAAGCAATCAAAAAAAAAAAGGATCAGCTCCAAAAAAAAAGAAAAAAAGAGAACAAAGACTAAGCAATATAGATGATGAGTGTCCAACAAAAATGTCAAAAAAAGGATGTTTTTTATGTGTGGAGTAAAAATGAGGATAAACCTTTTTTGGATGTTATTTTGTGTCCTTTTGGATATTAAGAGATGGAGAAAGAGAAGTGATTCAATAAGCGCCTACGCGGAAGTTATAAAGTTGTTGTTGCTGTTGTTGCTGGTG